CGATACTTAATTCAAGTATAAAATTCGGCCCATCACTGGTCGTCAAGGTAAATTTTGCAACTTGCGAAATTATTTACGTCATCGCGAACTGTCTAAATCCATTGTGTTTAGGTATATGTGACAGATCTTGACGTGCTCATTCAGATTACGTCCAACACATCGCTATAGGATATATACTTCATGAGGAATTCACGAAAGAAAAAAGAAAAAAATCGGCCCATCACTGGTCGATCACGTTAACAAACACCCAGGTTTATGGTGTGAATAGCCAAAACGAGTGAAAAGCACAATAATAGTACTCCACCTATTAATAGTACCTAAATAGTAATCGAAACTAAAAAAATGAGCACAAACTTGGATCCGAAAACCGTGTACCTTGCGAAAGATAATCTGGCGCTCATCCGACTGAGCTAAATAATCCCCATTAGTTCCTTGTAGGCGTTGTAGACAACACTACCTTACCGATTTTAACTATAGTATCTACTAGTACAAGCTAACACGGCTGTTTTCAACGTTTTCACCACCGCCATCGCTTCCACGGCCAACCTGGCTATGGAGGCACTCTCACCCCCTACCACTGGGACTCATGAGACGGTTTCCTATGACATGGAGGTAGAAATACTCGATTTGACCTTTCCGGTGACCGAAAAAGACCATTTCTTGCGCTGACCGATTTTCGTGCGCGCGACGACAGTGTAGTCACAGGAACCGTCGTCGTAGCAGGTGAATTGGTAGAGGTTCTTGGTGCATCTGTGGTAGTCGCAGGAATAGCAGTCGAGGTAACAGGCGTACTGGTCGTGGTACCAGGAGCCACCGTGGTGCTGCTGGGAGCTGTTGTGGTGGTGCTGGAGTCAGCCGTAGTAGTAGGAGCATACTGATACCCACGATTTTGGCTCACCTACACTGATCGAAAGGGAATTCAGAGGCAATTCCACCTGTATGATTTTATCCCTATAAAACACAATAACCTTCGAGTAATCTTCGCTAAGCAAACCCAATTTCACCCATTTTGAACCTTCAGCCATAATAACCCTTTACGATTTATATATAATATCCGATTATACATGTTCTGTCTATAATAATATCTAGGTAACCTACGTGGGTTTATACCCTATCATGGAGGATATTTATAGTTCAAGCTATAGGAAACTCCACTTTGTACTATCACACCGACGATATGGATGTGTCTGCTCAAGCAGGTATGGACTTTGTAAAGGGTGCTCGACATCGTTGTCTTACACGAGAGGAACGTCTTGATGTACTGCGACTCCACGCATACTTCGTAAGCGAAGGAGCCAACGACGTATCTCAACGAGTTGCCAGAGCACTTGGGCGGAGCCACGACGTCGTCAAACAGATCGTCCGTGAGTACAAGAATTTCGGGACCGTCACAATGGCTACTCCAGCGTCGAACCGGAGTAATCATGCAACAAGAGTTCCGGATAACAAGGAAACTATTGAACTTGTCCAAGCCTTCGGGGCGGAGCGGACGAGTCACACGGACACGTACGACCGCCGTCGACGTCATGATGTACCTGCAGGAGATGGGTGTTATGGACTTTGACATCACCAACACGACGCAAGAGGCTTCGTCCCTACGTGCAGTCCAAAGGTTCTTGAAACGGCGGGGATACAAGCGTGGCAATCGAAAGGGATCATCAGCATACTTACTTACTACCTGTCGAAGCCCAACGTTGCAGCACGCGACATGTACGTTCAACTCATGTAACCTTACATCTCGTCCGCGTCGCCACAGCCCATCGTTTACATGGATGAGTCCTACATCCATCACCACTATAAGGCTCACTAAGATAGCCTGTACACGCAAGAGACGTTCTAGACAAGGTATCAAAAGAAAAGCACAAGGGCCAACGCTACTGTTTCATTGCTGGCATCTTGGATTCACCATCATCTTGGATTCACCGACCATGACCAGCTGTGTGGTCGGACTGGACAATTTTACGGGTAGCAAGTCAAGAGTGAAGGAACCGAAGGACTATCATGGTATGTTTAACCATGACTACTTTATCGGATGGTTCAGCAAGTTGTTGGATGGGTGTACAGTCTGGGGGTCGTCAACGCGCTGATTGTTATGGACAATACAAAATACCACAAGGGGGCCCAAAGGATACACCAACCAGCCGCCGCTGCAAGAAGCGATTGCAAGAGGAATGCGTGCGCTACGGCATCGAGTTCTCGGAGGGTGACTTCAAGGGCATACTATGGCAGAAGTTGTCGCAGCACATACAGCAGCATGTAAACTCCGTTGTCGTTGACCCGGCGAAAGCCCGCGGCCACACCGTTGTGTACACCCCACACTACCATTCCGACTTGTAGCCCATTGAGAAGGTGGACCATTGTGAAAGGAGATGCAGGACGCAGGTACACCAGTTACACCAAGTTCACACAAGTCAAAACACGAATCGACGCTGCATTTGCTGCATTGACCCCGACGGCAATCAAGGGGTGCGTCAAGGTTGCCGCCCAAGGCAAGTTGCAATCCTTGTATGAGTATCTGTTGCAAGTTGATGCAATGAACTGCGATGAGGAGTCGCCTGCTGCGAGGGACAACGAAGATGGCGATGAAGAAGGCGGTGATAGCTCGAACGAGTAGCAAGTTATACAATGGTAGTAGTTATTGTGCTTTTCATCCAATTTGCCCATTGTTTTATCGCAGTAATCTATGGATGACAAAATTAAAACTACACGTTAAACAACGCAAATCGAGAGTCTGGAACATGAGCTAAATAAAGACAGGTCGTTATTTACTGGACCATCTCACTCGCTAAGTGGACGAGACCAACATGCAGCGGGATCGATTGAACGTCACGTTCCCATCGTGTTGAATCTTGTTACGCTACACGTACGTCGTGAGAGTCCAAGTGTGAGGCGAACGACGTCAACTTCAATGCCATAAACTTGGACAAGCACAACACATCTCCAACGCATGTCGATTCTGATCATTGTAAAACAAGTTGAATAAGATAAAACCATGCACCTCCACCAATTCTTAGCCAATCAAAGCATCACGAATAGTTATAATTCAACGCGAACCGTAAAAATACTTCATCTTGCATCGGTTAGCTTTTGCCAAATGCTTCCGAAGCGTTCGCGATGGAACGCCATAGGCCTCCGCAGCAGTTGATGCCGTGTGTACTTTGCTTAACACATCGTGGAAGGCCTTGTCCATGGTGACCTGCTTGTATGGCGTTCTTGGCGGCATTTTGTCGGTTCAAAAATTAAAGAACCTTTAATATGTAATACTTTTTCCCTCCATTTATTCATGCATGTTAAATTTGTCGAGAGGTTGCCTTTTGTCCAATCAGAGTTGATTGGCGTTTTAATTGGATGAAATAAGTTGGCCCATCAATGGTCGGACACGTTAGTGCGATGAACTGGTACAATATGGATGAAACGTCCTTTTTCTACTGTCTTTCTCCTCACCGTTCGATCACCCGCAATCGTGTCCCGGGACCAAGAAGGCGTCGAAGAGAACACGCTGGCGCTCACGACGAACGCGGACGACTCGGATGTTTTGGACCCCCTATTTATTGGGACAGCAGTGCAGCCAAGATGTTTCAACATACGTACCTGAAGTAAGCTGAACTTTACAGTCCCCGACGGCATCGAACCGCCGACGAGAATGCATGATATTCTTTAGAGGAATACACTTCGAGAATATAAACGCCATCTTGTCATTTTATAACTTCGAAAATATAAAGTATGAAGATTATATTTCATACACAGGTACTATTGTGGTTTTCACCTTTTTTGGCTAATCCAGGTCTAAAACCATGCTTTAATAAAAACTCATCCTAAAATTACGGCACTCACCATGATTTTACGCATGCAAGATGAAGTGTTTTTACGGTTCGCGTTGAATTATAACTATTCGTGATGCTTTGATTGGCTAAGAATTGGTGGAGGTGCATGGTTTTATCTTATTCAACTTGTTTTACAATGATCAGAATCGACATGCGTTGGAGATGTGTTGTGCTTGTCCAAGTTTATGGCATTGAAGTTGACGTCGTTCGCCTCACACTTGGACTCTCACGACGTACGTGTAGCGTAACAAGATTTAACACGATGGGAACGTGACGTTCAATCGATCCCGCTGCATGTTGGTCTCGTCCACTTAGCGAGTGAGATGGTCCAGTAAATAACGACCTGTCTTTATTTAGCTCATGTTCCAGACTCTCGATTTGCGTTGTTTAACGTGTGGTTTTAATTTTGTCATCCATAGATTACTGCGATAAAACAATGGGCAAATTGGGTGAAAAGCACAATAAATGTTATTGTTCGAAGTTAAAAGACACAAGAAAAATATTATTATTTTATTAGCGTTATACTAACTGTTATGATTTATACTATATTCAGATTCCTTGGGCACCGTGCCCACCTCGAAGAATAATCTTCACTGGTTAACCTTTGCCCTGACCCAACCTACTCCCGTTGTAGAGGAGTTTTACAGTGTGAGGGTACGGAACGGACGCAGGTACACTTGGTGGTGACGAAACTTACGCCACTGACACCCGCAATGGGCACCAGAAGGAATATTGCTGAATGACACACAAACCAGGTTGTCCAAGTATCGTACAATGGGGTTTTGCGCATACTCACTCACGAACGTTTGGACAAACGTTTGCAGAAACGAGCTATATTGCACAAACGAGTTACAATATGAGGTGTATATTATTCCACGTGTACCAATAACATTGGAAATGTTATTTTCCAACTGAGACTCCAATACGTGATACCTGTTCAGACTTGGTAAACCTCTATTAATTTTTATTTCTCGCTGAATGTAAAAAAACTGACACCTGGATTCTTCATACTTAGTTCAAGTATAAAAGTTGGCCCATCAATGGTCGACTGTGTAAAGTGCTCGACTTCAAAAAAATCCTGTACATTCCTAAACTGTTTAAGTCGATATCCTTCGAGTTATTCATAAAGTACTCATCATTACCTATCCGAAGATGTATCATTCCCACTCGGAAAACAAAAAACAACAGAAATAATTGAGATTAAAAATGAAAAAAAGTTAGCTCATCAATTGTCGGACACGTTAAACCCGCTTGTAGCAGCCTGAATGTCATGTCGGTCATTCTCCACAGCAACAAGGGACGTCGAAGCAGCTTCTCCGTGCTGGATTTTGCTGGTGAGGCCGTGCTTTCGTTGGAATTTGTATAAACATTTTTTAGAGAAGGCTAGGCGCCGGGATGTCGGTATGTCGAGGTCGTCGCAAAGAGCCGTGGCCAGCTTGCAAATCAGCTCGCCAGTCAGGCACACGGCAAGTTCCTCGCACCGTAGGACCCACTCGACGAGCCTTGTTTCAACGGCCGGTAGCGACACCATGCGGTCGATCGACCGGGCCTTGATGTCAGCTCGCTGACTTTGCGTTTGGTGGCGGGTGATGGCGAGTCCAACCGTTTGTTTGACGGTGTAGTGAATAGACTAAATGTCTCTTTTGCCCACATTGCCACTTAAGAATATGTTGCAGTCGACTGCTGTAAATGCTTAACGTAGAAAACATGTTTGTCTTCCAACATCATGCGAGGCTTCATCTTGAATTGACAGTGAGCTTATCAAGCATCATGTATGCACTTGAATATTTGAAAGAACTTCCGACATTTAATAATAATCGTTTCTACGTAGTACAAATTATTGAAATTTGTCCGTTCCAAATTTCGTCAAGCCTGTGGCGTGGAAAGAGTCTGGCATCTCATTGGACAAAAATAAAGAATTATTCAACCACCACTCAGTGGCACCGTATCGTTACAAATGAAAATGTCGCGGTTTCAAGCAATTTGCGTCCAAATCAAATTCTGACAATCGCAATCGATTCCGGAGGGGGGTTTACCCTGAGAAACCTCCTGCCGACTTCAACAAGCTCGCAAGTACCCCACACATCATACCAACATATATTATATTTCAAATGCTGTGGGAATTGCCTTTTCAAAAGATTTCACTAACAGTATCATATCATATCTTTTCCCAAACTCTAATGGTCCTATTTATCATTGCAAGTCTCTTTTCTTGCGCACTAATAATCTCGTCACCGAGTCGATTGTCTTGCTCCAACAGCCAAGCAGTCTTGAGCATAGCTTTCAGTGGTCCCATGACACCAACATCCAGTGGCTGACACCGGCTCGTGGAGTTCGGGGGCATAGCTTCTACAACACTGAACAGTGTTTCAGCCACCTTGTCATAAGACTTTTCGGACACATGACAAGCCAAATTGTCGACCTACAACACATACGCGTCTTCCATCCAAGGGATATCGTTCAGATCCCCGGCGGTCTCGCATTACGCCAGCGGCTCGTCTTTGAAGGGAATGAGCTCCTGGAGACCCTGCCCTCCCAATGTTGCGTGGCGGCTGTGTCGTCGGCTGGCCAGGATCTTGTCACGCCGCGCCTGCCAGTCCTGCCAGGTCGAGTATGCGATTTTTTGCGACGGCAGAAGTCCCTCTCACTGACACCAGTGGTAGCACTAAACTCGTTGAGGCAAGCCTTGCGTTCCCCGTTTGTGTACCGGCGCTGCTGGCGCTTGGGTTTATCCATTCTTGGAGAGATTCACACTGTCAGTCGTCTCCGTGTTCGATTGTGTTTAAATGTTTGAATCCAGCCAATCACAGGTAATTAAGTTCTTGATTGGCTTATCTAAATTCGAATAAATATAGCCAATCGAGAAGGGTGTTCTACTTCGGCACTTTTGTTATTTTATTTAGCCATAGTTGCACTTACCGGGTTTTGCCGCAACCCACTGTAGTATTAATAGTATGTAGTATCCGTATTATCATTATTCATGTAAATCCTGAAAAAGTGGTGTGGGACAGACATATGTTAGCAATGATACAGAATTCGTAAGGTGCAACAGGAACCTTTGGTTCTATTTATAGTAGGCTCGCAAGGTGAGCCATCTACGAATTCCATAAACCGATGTGCAATTGACTATTTACAGCTACCAAATAGTAAGAGGTATCACTACTGCTCAGGTATAAAAGTAAAAAGGTATTTTCGGTGGGTTCCTTGCTTCTGATTGGTCAATACGTTCGGATTGAAAAATGGACATCATTTTCGAATTCATGATGACCATGACGATGGACATCGTCACGATGTCCATCCGTCACATGATTGATGCGCTGTGAGCATTGCATCTTGTCGAGAAATTTGACAAGTTGATTGAAACGGCTGACGAAACCACCAAGTGTTACAAGAGCTTCCCATTTTAAGCCGTCCAAGTCAATGCCAACTCCTCACTTTATGTGGCTAAACCAAGACCTTCAGAATATATCACCTATAACTCTACCGGATAAACAACGAGAATGAGACGACGGTGTGACATGATACAAATTTGTAAGTACAGCACATCGAACAAACGGAAACGACATCAAAACGATCCACACCATGGCACGACGAGGACCAAGGCTTCCGCAATTGCCGCCTTGCAAACACACACCCAATGCTCTAACCGGCGCCGACGAGGACGAGATTGCTTCCATCGAAGCGTTTACATCGTCTATGGAAGACAATTACTTTAACGCAATGGTCGAACGTTCCAACACGAATGCACAGGACGCATGTCCAAGTGAATCCACGGATGCCAGCAATCATGGTAACGTTAACAATTCAAAAGATTTAGATCGTTAACTGTAACAATCCTTGTTGTAATCCATCACTGTGAATATAAATGTAGACGATGATGGCATTGCACCATCAGGCGACCAAGCGACTACTTTGAAGAATATGACGCCAATGAAATCGATGCAGACTCGGCGTCCCACAGCTCAAGCGACGACGATTCTCTTAGAGACATTTCAGACCAAACTAGGTATTTTGCTCGTCGTCAAAAGTATATGGCGAGTTATACTACAAAGCTGCAACAACTTCTGGCGTGTATGGCACGCTTTTTTTGCCCTGACCTGGAGGGCACAGTCTGTGCAGTACAAACATGTTTGGGCCCTTGACAAGCTCTATGCATGACGCGTCGAAAGGGGCACATGCCTTTGACATTCTGCCATCAACATGTTGGCGTTCATACAAGGCTAGCTACTGGTCACATTGTGGAAGGATTTGGCGGTCGACTACCCCCTGTTGACAAAGTTGTCATTTGCTGCACTGGAATCAGCCGTCCAGTAATTATCAGTGTGTACACCATGGGCGGAATTAAAAAGCTATCGCTGCGGGGATGCCACGCTTACCCAGTTGGCGACCAACAGGTCGAATTGGGTCTCATGCCAAATCAATTGGAAAATCCAAGTAAGGTAATTAATTAATTCGAATTGAATTTAACATACAATATAGCCCATGCGTTTTCAATTCAATTGATGGAGCATACTATCGCGTTTCGAAGCAAGGGCGTGGTGTATCAAACTATCTTCGACGTTTTCCTGGGCAACATCTCGACTAACATAAAGGATGTTGCGTACCACCAATTTATCGATGCGTCGCGACAATTTGCAGCCGTGCCATACCTCTTGCGGCGTGGGGAGATTGTTGTCAAGGCGGACGAGCCGTTCCCCAAGCCTGTTTGTCCTGCATGCGCCGGGGACGGAACGACTTCTGCAAGCCCAATTATAGCGGTATAATACATTACATTGTGGCATAGTGCTATATACTCTGTGCTGTAGACAACGGACGGATTTGCTTCGGCGACGAAGTTATCTGCCCGCCAGGGTGGTGCTGGTGACTATGGCTCATATGGTTGGCCCGGTGGAGTTTTCATGGAACCAATACCAGATAATGGTTCGGCCAAGCGCAAGGCAACCACAATGTCGGGATGTTCATCGCAGCTACAAGCCGGAAAGGTTTTAAAGGAGCTGCTTCAGAACGACATGAACATGATTGTACACTTAGACTGTATACATGAAATTGTCCAATCGGTGATAGGTAGGCAGTCAATCAAGTTCGCCCAATCCTAAACGTATTCGTAGATATCGAGCATGGGGAACGACATGTATATGCAGACACGTTCCTGCAATCATTGAAATCCAGGCACACAGAAAGGCAAATATGGTTTAGCTACGATATTGTCTGCAAGCTAGAAGGTCATTGGAAGGTAGAATTTTTTTTTCAGCAATGAAGTGACTCGAGTACTGTATTGCTCCAAACTAATCTCGCCAATATAGCTACATGGTATGGAAAAGCCCGACCTATCCTTCCTACCCGTATTGTACGCTTACTGCCACGACAAAATGTCAATTTCAATTCGGCCCTCGCGTACTCGTGGGAACTGGAATTATTATGGACGGAGAGGGCCATGAGCGAACGAACAGCCGACTATCCCGTAGCATTGGACTGACCCGGCGGGAGGCCACCGGCAATCGCGAACTGGATATCGCCTTGGTGCTCGAAGAGCACAATCGAATCAAAGTGAGGAATATTTTGGGGCACACGGAGAAGAAGCTGCGAGCGATCTTTTCCCACCTAACAAAGCTAGCCCAGAGTGGATGGCCAACCGAAACAAATAGTGGATGGTGCGTTGCCAAAATTCAAATGTCAATCATTTATAAATAATACTACCTCTGTCCGAAAATGTTTGCACGAATCAAAGATTTCGACAAATGAACATGAAGTTCTTCGATTCTTGGAGAACAGAAGGTACTGGGGAAAAGAGGAGATTCAGGGCGTCACCAATCAAAAGTATTCGCACCAAAATTCCAACCAATGAAAGAGCCATGACGGAAACAAATCCCAATACTTTATTTCATACAACATGGACGACACTTGTCATTTCAGCGTATCCGGACATCCGGTTACGATAATTCCGTGCTATCCGTACATTTTGACACGATCCACATTCGAATTTGACAATGCGCGCCAAGCCCAACCTCACCGACATCGACCGCAATGTCATCCTCCAGCAGCTCTTGACCCGAATGGTCGACCACAAGACTCTTGTGCACGGATCATTGAAGGATGTAGCTAAGGTATTCAATAGACCTCTAACCCAGAGATGTAATGACTGAGTGGCTAAGAATGGGCTGATGACCCAGTGATAATGTTTTTAAGGTTATGAATCGTCGCTCAAGCAGGAAATATCCGACGAGGAGACGAGATCCCCAACGAAGTGATCGAGTCATTTCCAAACTCTACCCAGTGTTCGCCCAAGGTATTTAGGTGTCAAATACCCAATTTATGTACTATGTAAGGTAATAGTTCACCTTTTGTTATTTTTTAGGGCAGCATTTATCCAACACCTTCTGTTAAAAACCCGGTATACACCCAGCGAGAGGGTAAATAAAACCACAATTAAGTACACATCCCAATTTCTATTTTTAGAATAATTGACTACCGAGCTCGGTGTCGGAGCCATCAGACCCCGCATGATCAGCAGCAAGAGATATACCCCCAGCCAAGCACATGGACAACCTGGCCTTCCGC